CCATATTTGAAATTATTTCCAAACAGAAGCTGATTGCACTTGAGTCAAGCTGTCTGTTTTTATAAAAGGAAAAGACAGGGGCATGGCGTTGACTCAGATCACTCATCAGAATGGTGACTCGGAATGATGATATTATCTTCCTGCGGCCAGAGGGACAGGATGGCGGCGGGACGTGTGTGGCTGACATGCAATTAATAATTCAGATTGGCACAGGGCACTGTTCTGCAGGGAACCCTGCCCCCTGGTAACTCATCAATAAAATATTGGGTTCAGTTGTTTGGAGCCCACAGCTCATCTGAGAGCAACGTTCTCACTTGGAAATGCTGGTTGGCACAGGAAGCAGAGTGTCAGAAAAGCCTGCGGGTCTGGAATAAAAATGTCAGGGGAGGAAATGAGTCTCTGGCATTCCTTCTCTCACTGCATCCAAAAGGGCAGCCTTGAAATCTGGGTCAGCAGTGGGGACTGTGTCCTTGGGAAAATTCTGCGTTGGGGCAGGGGAACACCACGCACCCTGTTGAGCCGACCCTCCTGGGGAGGTGTCCACCTCTATTCTGGGAGTGGTCCAGACCCTCTGGCTCAGGGTGCAATCTCCAAGGGTCCAGTGAAATCCTTTGCATGCCTTTAAGGCAATCCACATTCTTTACTTTTGCTGAATTATCCATTTTTTCATGATTAAAGTAACATACTTTCCTTGAAGCCAATTTTATAAATGTGGACAAATAACCAAGACTTAAAGATAAAGGTAAAGGTCAGATGCCCATTATTTCAGAAAAGCCGTCGTGTGTAATAATAGCAACAAGCTGTGCTGGGTGGGGCAGAGGGCCAGGCTGCTGGGCGAGGAGACACCTTGTCACGTGTCGTCCACACGGCAGCCTTGTGAGGCGGTGTGAGGCGTTGAGGACCATCGTTTATCGACACTTCAAATCCCACAGTGCTCTAAAAACTGATGTTTGTTTTATGATGAATTTGGGGGCAAAACACGCCCTGAAGTGAGTCCTATTTACAGACATTAGTTAGGCTACTTGGTGTGAATATTCGTGTATTGTGAGAACATTTTTATGAACAAATTTAATTACTGCCTCAGACCCCTTTGGGGATGTTCCCTAGTACACGATATTTTAACCATGGTTCTCAAATCTAAAAACTTCAAAATTCTGAATCACAGCGGTTTCTGTGACTATCCCCACGCTGCAGGGGAAGAGTCTTTGGTGCACAGTTGATGCTGCTGATCAACACCTTATCACCGACAGGTGGGGGATGCGAACCTCAGTCTGCACATCTGGAGGAATGGAGCTCGGAGCTCTAATCGCTGCGTGTCGGGACCTTTTCCACATCACACCCCACCGAGAGAATGAGAAGCTGTCTGACCTCTTGGGGGACGGGGAGGCTGATTAGGATCAGGGCAGTGGTGCTGGGTTGTCCTGCCTGCTGCTGTTCCAGACTTCTGCCCTGGTCCACCTGTCTTCTCAGCCTTCAGGCTGTTGGCAGAGGGTCTGCTCATACTTTCAACTCTCATTCAATGAATATTATGCAGCCGCCGAAGGGCTGGGCAGTGATGCTTCAGGGAAGGACTCTGGAACAAGAGCTCCTGGGCTTGAATGCTATTGCCCCTATTTTCCAGCTTTAAGACCTTTACCAGGGAAGCTGCTCAGATCTCTGAGCCTCAGTTTCTTCATCTGTGAAATGGGGATGATAACACATTGCTAACTTCCAACCGAGAATAGCTATGCTCACGTGGTCCCTAAGAAGAAGGGAAGGAGTAGAGATGGTGTGGAGCATTTTTGAGCTCCCGGCCATCCACCTGACTTTATGGGAGGGCAGAATGAGAGGCAATAGGTTCTCAGAACCAGCCCTTGGAGGAATGCCTTACCTCTTCTCTAAGAAGGGCTGTGCTCATCTCACAGGAAGCTGTGCATTATTTACACAGGTTGAAAAACGTGGTTGGGGGGCAACTGGGATCAGCATCTAGAAGATGTCAGGACTGTCAAGAACACAGAGCTATCGAGAAAGCCCCTGTCTTGGGCTTGAACACATGGAGACTAAGCAGTCCCTATTCTGTTTCTGTTTGTATTTCACTGTTTGGGGCACGGTTCCCTCTGCCAGAGTTTATACTTGGCATTAACAAGATCAAACCTAAAACTGTCACAAGCAGAATCTAGTGGGGGACACATGAGTTTGAAGCCCCTGGTTGGAATATTATGCCAGGTTTGTTTCTGAGTTATACCGGGTTTCTAGAAATCATGTGACATTTGAAGTTCTTTTAATAAATGAGATCAACAGACCAAGAAGCAGGCAAAGAGAAAACATTATCTCTAATACCAGGAAGGCTGCCTTTCTTCGCTGCCCCTCTAGCCTTATACAAGGCCCAAGAAGTGGCGTGCTTCTTAGCTAGTCAACCACAGACCAGCTTCCTGGCTCTGTCTCTTTACCCTTTATGGGAAGACTGAGTACCTACCAGTGCCACAGAATAGGCTGACCCAGGGGCAGGGACTCAGTGATTTGGGGCTGTAGAGGAGCAGAGGCCAGAAGCCAACTTGGTAGGGTTCTTGATGATCAAATGAAGATATTTGGCACCATCTTGCCCTGTTGCTCCTCTGTTTGATAGAGCCCGGATGGAGCCACACCTTCCAAACTCAGGATGGGGTCTCCATCACCTCCATCTGTTTCATTTCAGACCCTGTCATCGCTGAGCCAGGGACAGGTTCTGGGTGAACTTTGACAGCAGCAGCCCCACCATCACCCCTAAATTGGCGGCACGAGACGGGGGCTGGCCCAATGCCTCCTACCTTGATTTTTGCCCAGTTATCTTGCTTAGAACCACATTCTGCTTCTAGTCCAGGGACTCTGTCCTAAGTCCTAGCCGAGGGTTTAGGGACAATGTCTATGCTGGGTAACCTCTCTCCTTGGGGCTGGATCCATCTCCCCACAGCCTGTCTGCTTCCTGGGGCCTCTTCTGAACATGGCCCATTGATTCCGGAAGCTACTCTGTGCTGTGGATCAGACCAAAGCTTGATGGCCCACACGAAGTTTCCCCTGTCTTTGGGGTGTCAGAGTCTGATGACCATCTCTGAGGCTGGACTCATTGCTGGGACGTTTGCGGAGTCTCCAGCCAACCTGAACTCAGCTTCCCCCTCCTTTCCTGTGGTTCCAAGTCTCAGCAAGCTCTGAGATTGACTTTGTTTAAATGTCTTCAGCAGTCTGCACTGAATAAACCTGGAGGGTTTCTCTGCATCTGAGGACGTAATAATGAAACCTGGTGTTTGGGAGGCTTTATATTTGACAAAGGCTTTCACTTGATACCCTCTTCTCACTCCATTGGGACCTCGAGTATTTCTTTGATACCTGGATAGTTTCTGAGACCAAAGGCCATTCCAAACATGGCTCAGCGTTCAAGCCCCCATCGCCACCACTGTGCTTTGGGCTTCTCTGGATACGATAGTCTCTCTTCTACGGGGCCCGGGTGGGCAGTGCTCTTACCTGAGATACACCGGGTAGGTATTTCCTTGACAGTGTGTCCCCTGAGCTAAGTTTCTTCTAAGTGGCCAGCTTTTAAGAGTCAAGAATTTAGAGAATGGTTGGGATTTCATACTCTTCCTTCCATTACTTCAATCTTGTACATTCTTCCAACACAGAACTTACCAGAATAGCTCAGGGTTTGCAAAGGTGGACTTAGAGAAGTGTCAATTTTTATGGAACAGATAATGCGTCTCACTACATTGCATTTTCCTTTGCATAGTAGACACAGGAAGAATCCTTTCCCTAACCTCCCCTGTAGTGAGCGGAGCCAGTGACTGAGCTCCGATGACAGAGCAAGAGTGTGCCACTTCCAGCTGGGTGCCTAAGACCTTCTGAGCCACGCCCCTTCCTTCCTGTCTTCTCTTCAGCTGGCTGGATGTCGAGGATCAAGCAGAGTGCTCTATGTCCCCAGGAACAGGAGGTTAAGTCCTGAAATCATGGCATGGAGGCACCCCCCTACCACCACCACACGTCCAATGTGTGATGGATGTGAATGAGAGAAATCCGTGTTTTAGCCACTAAAGTGGGAATTTTCTTTGATAGCAAAATGTTGACTGATCGATAGAATTCTTATCCTAGTCCGGCAACTAACTATGTGACCTATGGAAGATCCTTTAATTTTCTGAGCTCTCTTGTCTGCCCAAAGCTTTCCCAGGAGTCTTTGTGGTCAGGGGAAAAGAGCATAGGGTGTAATCTTCTCAGGAGAGGGTATAACCTGCCTGCAACTGCTTCCCCACTCATGACTTTGTCACTGTTCCTCCAACAGGGCTCATAGGCTTGATCCCACTTCTGGGCCTTTCTGACTCCTTCACTTTTCCCCAGGGTTCTCCTTTCCTACCGTTTAAAGTGAATCTTCAACATGAAGCCCTCGAAGAAGTCTTTCTTGTGGATTCCAGCTCAACAGCCTCCCTGACCCCCAATCATTTTCCCCCACTGTTCTACCAGATTTTCTTTATTGTCTCTACCCCTACCTGGAGGTAGACCATTATAAGAATATGATATATTATCCCCACCCTGAATGCTAGCTCTATGAGGGTAAGACTTATGCCAGGATTTCTCTGGAGCTTAGGAAAGCAGAGGAACATTGTAGGTGCTCAGTATATGCTGGTTGAAGGGATGTGCAAAGTACTGTGGGGATTACATGAGGCCATTATAGAAAGAGTTGAGCACTGGGCCCTGCACACTGCAGGAGCTCAATAAAAGGCAGGTGTGTCAAATGTCTAACTACAAGTCCCTCTTTCACACTCAACTGTGAACCTCTTAATGTCAGGGACTGGGCCTTATTTATCTGTGTTCCCAAAGAACCTTGTACATAAGAGATGGTCAGTAAAGTTCTGTGATGGAAGAGAAACTCAACTTCTATCTTTAGTTTAGTGTAGCTAAAGACTAATGAAACCATCCTTGTTTTAAAAAAAATTAAACCTTTTTATTAGTATATTTATTTTATATATAAAAGAAATACAAAAAAAGAAACACAAAGAAAATGCTTTTATGGCAAATCAGACTTGTCGGTGCCTTCGGCTTGGGCTCCAGGCTCTGGCCCGCTGGGTGTCAACAAAGTCCGCCGGTTGTAATGACCCTTGATAATCCCCGTGTTGTTGTTCTCATTGAGCAGCTGCTTCTGCCTTTGCCTGTTGAGAGACTGGACAAGGCCCAGGACAACTGCGGCCAAGGAGTATTGCCCGGGCAGTCTTCTCGGGGGCAAGATGAATGGATTGGGTTGGACTCTTCCCAGCAGAAAGTACGTTTTGATTTTTCCTTCCTGTTCACTGATGCCCTTCACATAGATCTCCCCTCGGTAGTCAAAGGCAAAGCCCTGGTCCTTCAGGATGAGATAGGTCTCCTCGGGGACTTGGATCCTGCCGCTGACACCTGTGCTGTCCATTCGACTTGCCAGGTTCACGGTTTTGCCCCAAATGTCATACTGTGGTTTCTTAGCGCCGATAACGCCAGCTACCACGGAGCCATGGCTAATGCCTGCGGGTGACCAAAGGAGTGAGAGATGAGAGAAGAGAGACATCTCTGAGATGGCTGCACCCCTGCCTGGGACAGTGACCAGTGAGGGGGTCGCCCCTGCGGATATATCGTAGGGCCCAGATCCTGCCTCAGTCACTCATTACATATATGGCCAGTGTCCATTATTTAGCCTATAAGGACTTCACTTTTCCCATCTACAATGTAGAAGATGAATTGAGATTATGGAAGTAAGGCCTTAGCATGGTGCCTAACAACCAAGGAGGACTCGAGAAGAAACTGTTATTATTCTCACGTGGACAATGACTTATTTCAGCTGCTGGGACAGACAGAGCACTGGACCATTAGTCAGGATGTTGGGTGTCCTCCAGCCTCTGTTACTACAGAGCTCTGAGAGCTTGGGTAGGCATTTTCCTTCTCTGTCTGCTTTCAGGTCCTGAGCTTCATTCCCTTGGTTCATGGCAAAAGCCTCCCAACTGGCTTCCCCATCCCCTGTCTTGTCTTCCTGCAGAAGGTCCTCCATACCACTGCTGAAGGGCATCTGACCAAGCTCCAGCCCAATTCAACACCTACCATGGCTCCTTTGGCCTATAGGATGATGCCCATGCACCTTGGAATCACAGCCAAGGGCCTCTTGAATCTGGCTCTTGCCTGCTTTGTCAGCCTCCTTCACTACCACTCTCCCCTTCACCTTCACCTTCTCACCCTTCACCTTGCCTTGTACCCACCCCAAAGTGCTGGAGTTGCCCTCACCTGCCAGCCTTCAACGCACCTCCGTGCCTTTGTCCCTGCTCATCTCCTGGTTTGGACTGTCATGTCTGCCCAATCCCATGGTTAATTTGGCAAATGTCTTTGAAGACAGTTTCAGTGACTCCTCTTTTATGCAACATGGGCTTCTTCTAGGAATGATAACATTTCACTAATCATGTTGGTGGGCATGTCTGTCTCCTTCTAGTAGACTTAGAATTTCTCATGTATTCTACCAAACTGACTAGACACCTGCTTGGGACCAACACTATTCCAGGCATGGGGGATATGGTGGAAAGGAAAAGAGACATAGTCCCAGCCCTCATGGAGCTTACCTTCTACTGGGGAGAGACAGAAACAAACAAACAAAAAAGTAATTTATCAATGAATCATAAAGGCTGTAAAGAAAAACAAGTTGGGTTAGAGGGAGAGAGGTGGGAGGGGACATTCTGGGAGAGGGTAGTGAGGAAAGGCCTTTCTGAGTGGACATCTGAAGACAGTGACAGGACAAGCCATGCAGATATCTGGGTTAGATCATTCCAGGCAGAGGGAAGAGCAAACCCCTCCCTGCCCTACACAAAATCAGATAGAAGTGACAAAGAAATTGGGGATGCAGACCTTTTGGACCACATGGGAACTACAGTGACGGAGATCTCTCTATGATTTGCAGACCACGTTACAGGCATTACCCCGTCTGAATCCAGGTTACTACTGTGAAGTGGGGGTGATGGGTGGGGGTAAATAATATCATGCCCAGCTTTCACACGAGGAAACTGACATTCAGAGGGTTCGAATAGCTTGCCCAATGATGTAGAACCAGTCTCAGTGGACCCCAAACATAAACTGAGATGCCCAGGGAAGCTAGGAAAATGATTTTCTAACCCCTGAACAATGCCAGAACTCAGAATTTCACACCAAGGGTCAGCCCTGACCCCAGCGACATCTCCTGCTTTGTTCAAGGTTGATGTTCTGCTTTTTTAGTTCTCATTCAAGTGTGTAGTCAATGATTTCAGAAGGGACACGTAGGGTCGATGGAACATGTGGGAACAAGCCCCGAGCATCCCAGCCATAGATCCAAAACATAAAACAGAACTTCTTTTTATTTTGGTGAATGAAGGTGCGTGGCATTTGCTAGCTCTGACAAGTAAGATATTGGCATTTCTTGACCCTTGTTTCTTGAAAGCTACTCAGGGAAAGCTAAGTCAGTCGATGGTATGCTGGCCAGAGGACATCTAAAATCTGAACACTACAGCAAAGGCTGTGTTAGCCTGGAGCCTGGCAGCCAGAATGTCATTGATCTGTCCAGACATCTTGGAGCACCTTCCCAAGTGGCCATTTGGCTGTGTGATCATAAGCTATTACTCTCCTTCTCCGGGTCTGAATTGACCCACTATGAAATGAGGATGTGGACTAGAGCAGGGGTGTTTACACTGTGCTGGAGGAGGTCTTCTAGAATCAGCAGGGATGCTGAAGACATTGATGAGTTATACACATCATAAAGGGTCACTAGTCACATTGCTATGATTTCCATTGCACTGTTGCATTACTCTTGGATGTCTCTAAGCTCAAGGAAGTGTGAGCTGCGTGACCAAGGGAAGAGCTGAAAGGTTTTCTGTTTGTCCCTGAACAATACAGCATCTGACAAACTTAGGAGTCAAATCCTGCTATTTTTTAGGGCATTATCCAGAACAACTGGGGAGCAGCACACTGACCAACAGCATCAGATGACATGAAGTCATAATGAAAGGACAGATGACTCATCTCTCTCCCTCAGCAGGGCCTTGTGTGGGTAGGGTACTGCACAAGTAACTTGGAGGAAAGGTAACTTGTAGTGTTTGCTGTGTATTTCTGTACACAGGCCAGCATTGTTCCCTGGCTTCTGGCACCCTGAGTGACAAGAAGGCCAGACTGGCCTGAGCTGATGCTGTCCTTGTCCTTGGCAAGGTCACACTGAGCCTGCTGCATTTTGCAGGAGAAAGCTACCCATGGCCCAGGGCATGGGAGGTTCTGATGGAGCCAGGCCAACCAACTTTATGGGACCCCACTCACCACACCTCCAGCGGCTACTCACCAATCCGGAGTTCGAAATTGTTGAAGGAATGTTTGTTGATCTCCTGTATGCTCTCAGTCAGGGCGAGGGAGAAGTCAGCCAGGGCACACAAATGTCCCCACTTGTCTTCACATTGCTGGAGCAGAGGGGAGAGAAGAATTCATTCACTGTGGCGAACATGAACCTTTCTGCAGCAGGGGCCTGTCCTATGTCCTAACCCACCTGTGTGCCCCTGAGATGGAGATAACCAGATATGTGAGCCTCTGTACACTCCAGTCAGCAGCATCCCCGAAACGCAGGATGACGAGAGATTTGCTGAAGCAAGTGTAATATGCATGGCTCATCATATTCCTTTCCCCACATCTACACTTGTTGGGTTGACATGCCATGCATTCCTGAGTACCCTTACAGGTGTGTGTGTGTGTGTGTGTGTGTGTAAGTGCTAGGAAATCTGTATATTTCCTTTGAAGCACTCACACCATCTGTTTAAGGGATGTTTCATATAGACCTTTGCTCACAGAACTCCTGAGGGAAGAGGAGAGTAAGCCTCAGGGCCTCTCTGAACCTCAATCTCCTCATCTATAAAATGGGGATTTGCACACATGCCCTGACTGCTTCCCAGGGATTGCATGAGACTGCGTATTTGAAAGCATTTTGTGCTCCTCCAGAGCAGAGCAGAGCAGAGCAGAGCAGAATAGAGCAGAGCAGAGCAGAGCAAAGCAGATCAAATCATTTCAGTGGTGGGCCAGGTAGTAATATTTTAGGCTTTGTCATGGTTGCTCAACGCCGCCATTTTAGCTTGAAAGGAGCCAAAGATAAACTATGTATATATGGGTATGGCTGTGTTTCAATAAAGTTTTATTGACAAAAACAAATGGTGGGTCAGATCTGGCATGCAGGCTGTACTTTGTGAACCCTGCTATAAAGCTCCACACATGTGCATCCAGTGACTAGTGTGCACGTCTTCCCAGGTAAGTGCTCGTGGAATGCTTCTAGGTTTTTAGTTGGAAAGCAAGTGAAGAAAGGATGAGAAGAAGAAATGAGGATTCCTTCTTCCTAGTAACGTAGACTACTATCCATGTAGGCTTTTGTGTGGGAGCATGACACAGTCTCAGGTCTCATCTACTAACGCTGGAAGGTAGATGCTAGTGTTCCTACTTGACACTGGTGCCCGGCCCATAGTCAGCCCTCAACAGAGTGGGAGATATTATTAATATTCTTACATACCAAAGAAAACAGGTTGGCATCAGGGGTTTGGTAATACCCACGACTAACTCATACCCAGGGTAATTTTGTGGCCCTGATTTTGTTCATCAAGTCAACAACAAGGCTCAGATGGAGCCTAGAGGTTTCTCAGTTGTAAAGAAGCATTGTTTCATCCAGTAGACCCCACTGCCCATGGGAGCAAATGTACGTCACACAACTAGAATATCCTGTTCATCAGAGTCTCTCCCCATGCCCGCATGCAGGCTGATGACGGTGGCCTCACTGCCTTCACTGGCATGACCATAGTGATGCATCTGCCATGCAGTGTGGCTGAGAGCAAGGAGTTTCTTTACCTGTTTTTCGGGGGACAGGCCTGACACGGCCATGTAGGTGCTGCCAATGGTCTTAATCTTTTCAATGTCTTGGAACCGGTCTTCGCCGAGGAGCTAAAATAGATCCAGGCAATGATGTTAGTCCTGGTGTTTATTTTTCCAGAAGATGCGGGTGCTTTCCTGAAACAGGGCCCGGCTCACAATGAGGACTACCTGTGTCTGGTTTAGCATCCTTGAGACAGCTAATTTTCTCTCTGAGAAGCATGCCTTAAGGCAGTCAACATATGTTTACTGAGCACTTGCTAAGTGCCAGGTGTCACAGGGGGTGTGCCCAGATACTCTTTAAGGAGTAGATCTGTTTCAGTGAATCTTCGAAATATATGGTTATTTTATTGGTTCAAAAAAGAAATCACAAATGTTCCCTGATCCACCAAAAAATCTTTTTGGCTATACCTTCAACATGTATTTGGAATCTTAACACTTGCTGTCAGCATACTGGTCTGAGCCATTGTTGGCTTATACCTGGCTGTTGTACCACCAGGACCTACCTGCTCCCTCCCTCACCCCCACACTTCCACGCCAGCAGCCAGAGTGATCCCATTCCATAGCAAGTCAGATCATGTCCCCGGTCCATGCAAAACCCTCCTGTGGCTTCCCATTCTACTCCCCCCAACAGATGTCCATGTCCTAATCCTTGGAACCCGAGGATATGTTACCTTTCATGGCAGAAAGGACTTTGTAGATGTGATGAAGTTAATGATTCTGAGATAGGGATATACCCTAGATTAGCTGGGTGTGCCCCTAAGTAATCACAAGCATCCTTATAAGCGAAAGGAGGAGGCAGGAAAGTTAGAGAAAGCAATGTGGGGGCAGAAGCAGAAGTCAGAGGTGTGACTGCTGGCTCTACAGATGGAGGAAGGAGTCACAAGGCAAGGAACGCAGGTGGCCTTTAGAAGCTGTAATGATATGGATTCTCCCTTGAGCCTCCAGAAGGAACAAAGCCCCGCTGACACCTTGATTTAACCCGTGAGATCCATTTTGGACTTCTGACCTCAAACTGTAACATAATTAATTTCTGTTGTTTCAAGTCACTAAATTGGTGGAGATTTGTTACAGCAATGGTAATGACTAATACAGTAACTATCCATTGAGCTTCTGCGATATCTCATGAACAAGATGGGAGGTCCCAGCCATCCATCCGAGGGCTGACAGCCCAGGCAGGGGCGGGGACCACATGTTAAAGAGAAAGGAACATACTTACAAAGCCCAGATACAAGGGCGGGTTAGGCCAGGTGGAGACATCCAATCAGTGGGGCGTGCATATATCTACTAAGGTAAATTGAAATTCAATTGGCCACCCGTGTATGACCTAGCATGACTGTGCAGTTTTCTCTGTGTGTTGCTGACCTAGCATGACTGTGCAGTTTTCTCTGTGTATTGCAATCTCATTGTCCACCTGTGTATAGCCCAGCTCAACCGCCTCTATAAAAGTTAGTCTGTGAGGCTGGGAGGGGTCGCCTCTTTGAAGAGATGGCCCAACCGGTCAGTTTGATTCTCGATGCTTGGCGCGAAATAAAGCTTTGCTTGACCTTCACTTTGTATCAGTCTGGTTCCTTTGATTATGGACCCAACAATAACCCACATCCAACCCTTCAGGAAATCCTTAGCTCACCTTCAAAGATATCCAGATTCTGTTTCTCACTACCTGCCCCACACAGGTCACACATCCATGAAGCCAGCCCTGGGTGGAGGATGTAGGTTCAAAACTCAAACCTCCCTGGGTCCCAGGGCTAAGCTCTAACCTCCGATTCCCCTATGTTGGTAGGGATTTAGATACAACTTTTGGTTTTCCAACTCTCTGTCTCCCTTTAAGCCTATAATATGCTCAGGGGCTCATGCCACAGGTGGGTCAGACAAAGAAGATGAGATGGGTTTTCTACACAGGACTTGCTACAGGCATCCTCTCAAAATTAATCTGGAACTAAGAAAATGTGAAAAATTCCAAATGGAGAGAAATTCTTCTGAGAAACAAGGAAAACACTGGCAGGTGCTTTTGTGATTTGGTTTGGTGTGTGTGTGTGTGTGTGTGTGTGTGTATAGCCTGATTCACAGCTGAGGCATGCTTTGTTTATTATTTTTGTTTCTTGAGCTAACGTGAAGCCACTGTTCTGCCCTGGTGAAGGTTCCACCAACCACACCCAGGAAGGGAAGTGGCTGCAGCAGCCTGCACGTCCTTAGCCTGGGATCACATCTGACATTTGCCCTTGCACACAACCAAGCAGTTTTGGTCTCTTAGCAGCCCTGTGGCTGTTAATATATTAGCTTGGGGATCTTGGCATATCTTCGGTTGTCCCTCTCCCTCTCTCTGCCTCCTTATAATTGCCTTTCCCCAGTTTCCTAGAGGGAAGGGAGACTTTTCTTTCCTCTTCTCTTGGAATGACTTGGCCACAGGCCAATTTCAGGCTCAGACAAAGCTGCCTCCTCCTCAGAAGTCAATCAGAAGGCAGCAAGAGGCTTCATTATTTCAACGAATGTCCCTGCAGCAAATGTATCTGCCATATAGCTAAAAGCATCTGGGGACATAACATGGTTCCTAATCAACCCCTTTATTAATTCACTCATCCTCATTGAGCGCTGAGATGTGGGAGCACACTTTGGCCTTCAACAAGCAGGGGCCATGGGGCAGGGAGGCCCAGCATGGGGTTATTTCAAACCCAGTCTTGGAGCATGCAGTCCATGAAATGTTCTGCTTTCCTCTGAGCCAAGAAAGAGTGTCTCATGCTCTCAGATTCCCATGGTACTTTTATCAGCAAGAAGGGCAGCATCATTACTAAAGTCAGCACCAGGGCATCTGGCTGTAGCTTATCCAGGGCAGAACGTGGAGGTCTCTCTTGACACAAAGGAAGAAGGCATGTCTGGGTGTCCCAAGGACCCATGTGGGGAAAACTGAGTGCTTAGGGTTGGCAGGCCAGGGAACTTTCCTGCTGACTGCATGCTCTTCCATCTTCCTCCTCTGCCCTTCCCTTCTACTTCTTTCCCTTTCCTCCCCTTCTTTCCTTTTAAAAAAAATTTTAAAGTTAAAATTTAATTAGTTAGCATATACTGTATTTATAATTAGTTAACATATACTACATTAACATATACTGTGATTCATTAGTTGCATATAACACCCAGTGCTCATTATATCACACGCCTTCCTTCATTCTCCTCACCCAGTTACCAATGCCCCCACCCACCTCCCCTCCAGGAACCCTGCTTGTTTCCTAGAGTTAAGAGTCTCTATGATTTGTCCCCCTCTCTGATTTTGTCTTATTTTATTTTTCCTTCCCTTCCTCTATGTTCATCTGTCTTGTTTTTTAAATTCCACATATGACTGGTCATATGGTATTTGTTGTTCTCTGACATATTTCGCTTAGTATTATGCTAAGTTTCATCTATATCCTTGCAAAGGGCAAGAGTCCATCCTTTTTGATGGGTAAGTAATATCCCATTGTGTATGTGTGTGTGTATATATGTATATGGATATATGTATATATGTATATAAATATATATGTATATGTATATGTATATGTATATGTATATTCATCAGTCAATGGACATTTGGATTTTTTCCATAGTTTGGCTATTGTGGACATTGTTACTATAAACATTGGAGTGCAGGTGCCCCTTTGAATCACTCTGCCTGTATCTTTTGGATAAATACCTAGTAGTGTAATTGCTGTGTCGTAGGGCAGATCTGTTTTTAGCTTTTGGTGGAAACTCCATATTGTCTTCCAGAATTGCTGCACCGGTTTGCATTCCCACTAGCAGTGTAAGAGGGTTCCCCTTTCTCCACATCCTCCCTTATATCTTCTTTTCGATTCTCCCTCTCATCTCTGCCCTCTTCTCTCCTCTCACTTCCCTCCAGTTCCTCCCCCTCTCCTCCTCCTGGTCTAAAACCCGGCTCCAGGACCAATCTTACCCTCTCCTAGCCAATCCAACTTCCCTCTGCAAAAACCCACCTCTTCTACTAGGGGCACTGTCTTTTTTTTATAAGACACCAGGTGTCTACAAATTGGGGCATGGAGAAGGAAATTTAGTTCATATTTATTTATTACAATTTAAAAACATGTTCTTGAGTACTTTTAGGGGATGGGGGCTATAGAGTTTGAAATAAAACTGCCTGATGGCTCAACCTTCAGACATTTTTTTTAAATACAGCTATATTATTATTTTTTTTAAATTTAAAGATATGTTTTGGATTACACTAGTTTATCTTCACCTTGCTAATTTCCAGCTTGTTTATGTCCCCTATTAATTGATTGATTGATTGATTGATTTATCCCTTTAGCAAATACTTAGTGAGCATCTGTTATGAACATCTCCTATGTTCTAGGCACAGTGCCAGTCCATGAGGACTTAACAGGTTACATTAGAGTATAATTTCTATCTTTATGAGTGTATGGCCTGTCACAAAGAGATGGAATAAAGGTACTATTATCATGGAATCACTCTCCACTCTCCACAATGCAAGGCCTTCTTTATGAGTACACTTAACCACTGACTTCGCGAGTAAAGGTGATTCAGTCTTCTTGTCCCTCACTAGACTGTAAGGCTATGGAAACAAGGAGTGACCACGTCTTATTTATCTTGATCCCCACTTCCAACCCTAGAACAACTAAAATGATCACTGTTGCCTTTTGACTACAGAACTAGAACCATAAATGCCAGTTAATGGTTAAAAACCAAAACAGTATGGTGGACCTGGGTTCAAATGTTGGCAGCACTACTTAGTGGTGGCAAAAGCCTGGGCTCTCTTGGTGTCCCAAAGCCTCAGTGTTGCTTCTTTATAAAACAAAAGCTAATAATCCCTACCCTGTGGGTTTTGTTGAGGGATAAGTAACAACTGAATGCTATATATTGAAATTGTTTTACATTTGTGGCAACACATGGTAAACACCTATACTAATAAGGTAGGTTTCTTTCCCAGAACTTAGTGGCTAGTGGGGGCTGCAGATCTGTACACTGAAGGGTTTCAGGCTCCATGATGGAAAGTTTCAGAGTATAAGTTTTTCATGGAAATAGGAGTGACAACATTTACATGGCTAGAAAGGAGATTAGAAGAGGTGTCAGCACTAGAGAAGATATTTGAAAGGAGTGTTCAGTATTAGGTTTTCTGCTGGCCATGATATTGAGGGAGATAGGACAGAGTATGGTAAGGATGGCATAATTTTGGAGCCGAAAGAGCAGAGTGTAGAATAGCCAGGTGGGCATAATGGCTTGTAAGCAGCTGGTTGGTGGGTAGGGGGCCAGGTGGAATGCAGTGGGAGGAAAAGCCAGAGAGGGTACAGGGATAGCAAGTGCAAAGCCTCAGGTGACCTTATGAGGAGTTGACAACTGGAGACACTGACGGGCTTTAGGTTTCAAAGGGATGTGAAGAGATAGTCATGCTTTTGGTAATAGCTGAGGTAAGGTGCAGGAAGGGGCAGCTAGAGAATGCTGCAGTCATCCAGGGGAGAAGTAAGATGGCCAAGAGCAAGAAGAGGGCAGTACTGATGCTGATGAAGGGACAGACCAGAGAGTCATCAAGACGGAACCCACAGAACTCAGTAGCTAAATGGAACATGGGGATCAAGGGAGAGGACATTGAATGATGTCACAAATGCTCTTGGTGCCCCATCCACATCTCCATTGTGGGGTCATTCTCAAGAATGCCATGAGGTCTGGCTGCTGACAATGCACTGCTGCACCCTTTTTTGGAGAACTCAATGAGCCATTGAGAACCACCTTGCTGGATATGCTGAGAAGTGAGGCAACTTCTTCCACCAAGGGGCAGCCACAGCCAATGGCTGACAAACACAGGTGTACACTTGGCCCCCTTGCCTCAGTGTGAAACAACCCCGTGGTGTCGCTTATGCTGCTGAGCTCCCCAGGGATCAGGCTAGGAGGCTAGATCTCCGCTGAATCCCATCTTTGCATGGCCTCTTCCTTAGCATTTTCTCGATGAATCACTTCCCTTCTCAGGCCTGGGGAAATGGATAGACAATGGTGCCCTACTTGAAGCTAGAAGATGGGGGTGGCAGAGGATCACTCCTGCCAAGTCTGTTCATGTAAATACAGTGCAGTATAAGTATATCCCCCTATGTCATGTGTTCTTTATACTCATGGAGCTTAAAAGGAGAAAGCACTATCTGGAACATATGCATACTTGTATTTAGGTCTTTGACCAAATGTGAATTGATGGTTTTATCTCTGGCACTTTGAGGAGATGGAGAAATGTCCCCAGCAGTCCCAAGTCTCTGCGATGCCAGTGTCTGCATAGCAGGGGCCTCCAATCAAGTGCTGGTTTTGCCATTTGATGGTGGCTTGCCATTGGGTTAGATTGCCCTGCCTCGCTGAGACTACTGATCTCGATTCCCCAGATGGAAAAACAATGGTGTTTATCTCACATGATACTTAAATTAGCTAATACATGTTTGTGTTCATGCTGAAGCCTGTGGTTCTGTGAGTACAAGCTACTGCCACAGCAAACGTGATGCTAGGACAACAGAGATGCCCACTGGGGACTGTAGGTTTCTGAGGCTTTGATTTACCTCATCGAAGTCAGCAATGATTTCATTCAGCAGGCGCAGGCACTCCACTCCTTGGTTATTCATTTCAGTCTGAGAGTAAAAGTCTGCAAACCCCGGGATGGAGGCAAACATCACCCCGACGGCATCATAGGATTGAGAATACAGCTCCTGCATGGGGAGACACACAAAGGGAGCCAGAAACGGTCATCAGTGGTGAGGTTCTGTGGTGATGCTCCCCCATGAGCATGTGCACTTGCACCCACAGTTAGGTGTCCATGGAGAGGACAGAGAATGAGGCTCTGACACCATCATGTCAACATGGTAGCCACATGTCCTGGGGCCATTGACAATTCATGGTCTCCAGCCTTGGCTGGGCCCTGAGTTCTGACTACAGATCCTTTGTCCTTGGTCAGTTTCCTTCTCTGTTCTAGCAATGAGTCTAAACCCTCACCATTGTCCCTAACTTCACTCCCCACTCGATTCCTTTCAAGAAATGATCTCATCTCTTATCTCTGTGGCAAAAACTAAGGCTCTTGGCAGTGACCCAGCTCTGTTCCAACACTCATACTTGTGTCTATGTTCATATTTATTTTCATTCCTTCTGCTTCCGTTGCAGACAGTGCAGTCTCCTTCTGCTGAAGGTCAACGTTTCTACCTGATGTCTTGGCAGTTCCTGCTTCTAACTTCTTCAGCAACTTCCTCCTGCAGTGATCTTTTTCTTTACTCCTTCTCTTCCTCCACCTCTTTCTTCTCTGCACCCCTCCCCCTTTCAAATATCCCCCATATGGAATACTATGACGGGCCCTGGAACCTGAACACACCTGTGGCCACCCACCCATCTCTCTTTCTCTTTGTGCAAACTTCCCAAGCGAGTTCCCTCCATTGCCTCTCCCCACCCTGGCAATGTTCACTCACATGTCAGGCTGAGATGAAATGACTCTGGAGTGGGTTAAACTGCCAGCCAAAGTGGAAGAAAATCACCACATGGGTATCCAGTGGGGTCATCCCTCCCAAGACCATGAGTCTCTTGACTTTCCTTGTTTCAGTGATGCCGCCTATGTGTTCCTTATGTCTGGCTCCTTCAGAGATGCCTTTTGGGGCTTACCTTCCATCTGAAATGTTGATGATGGCTGTGGTTCTGTCCTTGACCCACAGCCAGGTCCAGAGTTCACACACTTACCCGGGCCATCTCGTTTACTCTTAACCTTTCTCCGACATTCAGGTGGGACAGCCTCTGAAATCCTGTCTTCAAGTCAGCTCCCACTCTTGGGCTTCCAGCTGCTGGGCCCCAAGCTGGGCTGTCTTCATACTCCTCAAGCTATAAATGCCACACCCAAATGCTTCTCCTCTCCGCCTAAACCTGCCCCCTCATGCTCTCAGTGGGTGGCACCAGTGTCTCTGAGTCATCAAGGTTAGAGATGCTCAGAGATGCCTTGACACCTTCTTCCTCATCATGTCCAGATTCAGTAAATTGCCACCTTCTACTGGCTTTCTTTTTGTCTCAGATATTTTTTCTCCCTCTCCTGCCCAATGGCTACCCATCTTCCTTCCCACACTGGGTTCCCTGACTTGTCTTGTCCCATCCCAAAGCATGTTTCCCATGGTGGCTGCAGTGATCTTTTAAAGACAGAATATTGACCATGCCTCTCCCATTCTTAAAACCTGCCAGTGGCCCACAATTGCCCTCAGGATGAAGCTCAAACACCATGCCCTAGCCTCCACCTTTCTCTTCAGCCTCATTGCCTGTGATTCTCTGCATCGGACCTCATGTTCCAGAAACAGTGAAGCATTGTACTCCTATGTACTCACCATAGTAGATGCTGCAGGTTTCCTGACTGACGGTTTCTCTCCCCCAAGTTCAGCTGTGGGCTCTTGCGTAGCTTTGCATGGAGCTTTTCTCTGACCACTAGAGGGCACTCTGGCCCCGTGAGCAGCGGGCTCACCGCTCCGGGAAATTAATGTCCCTGGGGAGCTGCTCTCAACCACTGACTGATGGCAATTGTCTTATGGTCCTCCACTCCTTCACTCCTTGGGCCAGGCAGCTGTGAGGTATGCTTTTGACTTGTCCCTGAATTCCCAGGGGGATTGAGCTCCAGTCCCCTAGAGAGGAAACTAGTCTGATAGTGCCGCATTCAGCCCTCCTCTTGCTTCTCACTGTCCTGCCTGCCTGGGCTTCCTGGAACCACCTCAAGTGAAATACTTTCACTCAAATCCTTGTCTCAAGGTCTGCTTTTGGAAGTGCGCGCATGCGCGCGCGCGCGCGCGCGCGCGCACACACACACACACACACACACCTCACACTTGAATGCTTTGATTCCTACCGTCTGTCTCTTCATTTAGTCTGAATTCTGTGAGGCAAAGACCCCATGCCATTCACCGTAGTGCCCTCTAATCACCCAGTTCATATTTTCTGGAGGCCTGCACTATCACGCGTGCTGTCTCTGGCATCTGGTACAAGATAAATGCTCTAACCTGTTGAAATTAATGCCTCCCTGGTCTTTGCAGGAAACAATAAAGTTAACCAAGTGCTTTCATATGAATTCAATGATTTAATCCTTGCAATGATCCTGTGAAATAGGCACTGATTCTTATTGCCACTTTACAGATAAGGAAAATGAGAGAGAGAGAGAGAGAGGGAGAGAGATTGAGGAGTTAAACTGTTGTTTGGTTCTAGATCATACCATTAGCAGTGGAAGAGCTGGGGTTGGAAGACCTCAAGGACCCTCCCCACTCTGCACACTTGGGCTCTTCTCCTCTGGCTTTCATGCCCTTGGTCTGAGAAAGATGGTGTCTCTGATTCAAGATCAATCAGTCTTGGGCTTCAAGCGTGGATGAATCTGAGTGAATACTTTCACGAGTCCTTGTCCAAAAGAGCACAGGCTGGTGGTGACTCACTGCACTGAGTTGGGCTGGGCAGGGAGTGAGGAGAGCAGATTGTGGCCAAGGAGCTGAGCCAGGGCACCTGGCTTTCTAAGGGGTGTCCATTCACCTTGGCCTTGAGCAATGGAGTGATACCCCAGAAGGAGTGATACCCCAGAAGGAGACTTACTCTCTGTTGTATCTGACTTCTCCAACTGGCTGTGATTTGGAGCACAAAAAATCCATTTGTTACATATTGTATTAATTTGTTCAGGCTACCATCACAAAGTGCCACAGACTGGGTGGCTTAAACCCAGAAATTGATTCTCCCACTGTTCTAGATGCTACAAAGTCTAAGATCAAGGGTCAGTAGGGCTGTTTTTTCCTGCGGGCTCTCTCCTTAACTTGGTGATGCCATCTTCTTCCCCTGTCTTCACATGGTCTCCCCTCTGCCTGTGTGTCCTAATCTCCTCTTACAAAGACACAGTTAGAGTGATTAGTGCCGTGCCCTAATGGCCTCATTGGAACGTAATCACCTCTTTAAAAATCCTATCTCTAAATACAGTTGCATTCAAAGGTACTGGGGGTTAGGACTTCGACATATGAATCCTGGGAGACACAGTTCAGCCCATAACACTCATTATTTCTATTTTCTGTTTCAAACAGAGAGAAAATAGAAAACCCTACCAGTGCCTTCTGAAATCCAGTCCATAATGACCCAGTGGGCCAGCTTGCCTCCCACTTCTGCCTGGTGATCTATAAATGCCACTGTGATATAAAGGTGGGTTTCCAGGGGTTTCTCATCAATCATTTATCTGCCTGAGTGTTCTCACAAATCCTAGATTCTCCCAGCCTCTTCTTGGTTTTTCTTTATTAGCTTCTGCCGACAATCAGAATGTTCCGATTGCTTATATAACACAAATAATGCTAATAATGTCAGCTACATCTATGGGGAGCTTCCTGTGTGACAAGCCTTACACAGAAGGCTGCACACACATCACCGTGTTGAGTGCTCACAATCCCAGGACTTAGATATAGTTAAGATCCTGGTGTGTACTAGAAGGAAAACTGAGGCACATAGCCATAGGTAATTTACCCAAGACCCGCGGTTAAGATACAGAGGTGGAATTCACCCCCTGCCTAGGCAGTCTGACTCCAGAGCGATGCTGCCATTACTGCTATTAATGTTAATAAGCAGACACCAGGACCCCAACCACCACCCCAATAACAATACTAGTAATCAGGGTAATGTCTAAGAATAAATATCACTAGGACTGGAAACTGGATCTGGTAAGTCCTTCTGAATGGATGGTTGATTTCACATGCGGTGTTGGGGTTCCCGGAGCATAAACTTCAAGACCTAGGACCTGAGTTCAGATCTTGACTCTGTTGCATCCTGTTGGAGTGGGGTGGGAGGAGGCTCAGTCCTCTCTGTCCGGTGCTAACTGGTGAAGAAAGTGGCTATAAGGAACAAAATCTAGGGCAGTGGCCTTTCAAGTGCACCAGGTGGTCTATCTATACTGAACCCACCTTGCACTGGGCTGCATTGAGCACTTCATGTGTTCTCCCCTGATTTAATTTCCAAATTGACTCAGCAAGGTCTGTATTATTTCCTATGAATCAGATGAGGACCTCAGAGAGGCTGGGTAAGCTGCCTAGGTCACACAGCTAGTTAATAACAGAGATGGAATTTGTGTGCACACAAGGAGGTGAGGGGTTGGAGGGGGCATGGAAGAGTGCCAGCCACCTGCCTACAACTTTAAAGACAATCCCATTGTTCAACACTCCCCAGTCAACCACTTTGAGTATGCCATCTGTTTCTTGCTATTTTGGGCTCAAAGAACATAAGAGCACTGTAAACTGGGGAGGGATTGATGAATATAGAAAAGCTATTATTGTTCTATCGTCCTCTGGTCTGGGCTTCATAGAGGATTTTGAGCATATGCACAGTCCCCGTTCTGCCCAGATATCAGGATGAAGACTCAGTCGGTTCTTGGCTCAGGGCACCCAGGCCTGTCTGGTTCCAGGTCCTCGGTTTCTTATACTGAGTTAAGCCACCTCGCTGCAAGGGAGGAACAATGTCTGAGGCTGGTTGACTTTATTAGTAGCCTCAGGTTTCTGTGAGAACATCACTGCCTTGGAGAGACCCTCCAGTGTCAACCCCACCTCCTTCACCTACTCTGTTTTCTTACTCAGCTTCTTCTGTCCACCAAGGACTAATCACTACTGGGCACTATGCTGTATATTTATTCACATTCATGTCTATCTGTCCATGAAAATGCATGCTCCATATTGGCAAGGAGTTTTCTTCTTTGTTCACTGTTTGATCCCCAGGATCTAGAACAACACCTGGTACATGGTTTCCCTCAATAAACATATGCTGAGTGAATGAGTGACTGAGTGTATGAGACAGTGAGTGGGGGACTGGGATTGCAAAGGAACAAAAAGATAATCGTGGCTCACCTTTATCAAAAACAATAGCAACAACTCAGTGTGCTCCTAAAATGGGCCAAGCACCATTTAGATGCCTTATGCATAATTACTCCTGGAAACATTGTAGCAATTGGACCAAGTTGCAAAAGACTGTTACTTTGTAGGTGAGGAAAGTGAGGTCCAGAGGGATTCATCCCTTCCTCAGTTCTAGAGGTAGTAGGAAGAGGAGATGGGATTGAATCAAGGGCATCAGGCTTTTGAGAACACCACACAGCCTTTCTATACTGAACCCACTGCACCAGGCTGTGCTGGGCCCTAAATATGTTCTTTCTCAATTGAGTTCTCACACTAAATTCAGCAAGATTCTCACACTGAAGTCATGAGGCATTATTTCCTCATGAATCTCATGAAAAAAAAAAATGGATTCAGAGAGGTTGGGTAAGCTACCCTAGGTTACACAGCTGGCGAGTGACAGAGATGGAATGTGTGCTGTATGCATTTTGCCGCACCCAGGACACCTACCCTCATTAGTGTCCATTCTGCAGGTCTTCGAAAAGCTACAAAGAGCAAGTGGGCTTCCTGGGACTCAGCAATAACCTACTCAACACTGATGACCTAGCCCAGGGGCCTCATCTGTGAGAAAGTCCCTGTCCTGGGTTGGTGAGCACTAATCTAAGCCAAAAGTCCAGCAGACTGGCAGAAGCTGCCAGAACCTTTGTGGGGGGCATAGCCACAACCAACCAGACAGTGTGTCCCAGGGGGCAAGGCTCTGTCCACCACCCTGTGTTCAGATGGTTTGAGTCAGTGTTTGTCACTGCTGCCCCTTCTCTGCCGCTCATGCCCTAACAGCAATGTGGGACAAAACGTGAGACTTAGCTCTGCAGTTGCACAGACGTGGGTGTGAATTCAAGCTCAGTACTCAACACCTCTGAGTTCTCACTTCTTGGAGCCCCACTTTCTTCTACAAAATGGGGATAATCATTCTTACCCGTGAACAGTGCTGTGGCTGCAAACTCACAACGTCCAGACCCCAGCCTTGCAGCGGTTCATATCGTAGCTCTGATTTGTAGCAAGAAGAGGAGCTAAGGAGGCCTCTCACAAGAACAAAACAGGATGTCAGGAGTTCTCGCAGGTTACAGCATTCCTGCTTCTGCCTGTGTCACCCCTTCTCATGTTACCTTGTCTGTCTGTCTGTCTCTCTCTCTCTCTCACACATACACACATGTACACACTGATCTTGCCAACCCCCAGAGGCATGGTAGGGGCAGCGCAGCACAGAGGCAAGGAATCCTCGTGGCTGGATTTGACTCACAACATCGCTTACATACAGGGAGGCACGTCACGGCCCTCTCTGGGGCTCTGAGTCCTCATCAATAATATGGGGTGATGAACTCTCCTCTTAAAACTGTAGCTAGAATGAAAGATCATTTACTTCAATGGCCTATCTCAGTACTGGGCATGCAGCAGGTGTTCTGTAATGGTTATTTATAGGGTGAGCATTCTCTAGGCTATGTTAAAACTTTGTGGTTAAGCCTGGTCAACTGTGAACTATTTAAGTATTTTAAACCTCAGATATGAATCTCAGACCTGTGCCCCTGAAACCATACATTATATGTTAATAAAAAAATAAAATCCCAAGTAAGCATGACAAGACATTGGATTGAACATGTCTTCTATGATTAAGGCTGAACCTGTCATTTATTTTGCTCAGTGAAGGTTCGGCCTGGATCACAGCTGGTGACTTCAGCATCTCTGGGTCGTTTCCTTCCTTTCAGGATAAAGCCAGTATATTCTTTCTCTTTCCCTCCTGGTCCCAGATATCGCATTGTTTGGGTGTTTTAATTGAAAAGCAGCTCTCTTTTCATTTCTCTTCCGGCTTTTCCTCTGAGGCCTCCAGGGTTTCACCTGCTCCTTCTGGTGGTCAAGGTGAGTGCACAGCAATAGTCTCTTTGCTTTCTTTGATTCGTCAAGAAGTTCTTGCAACAAAGCCCTGATCTTAGGGAGCCTTGAGAAAAGCAGGCCTGAAGCTGATTCCAGAGAACTCCATCTGTCGAGGAGGGTGGGAAGTGCTTGGATATGCATCCAGGAGACCTCCAGGGTCCCGGTGCATCAAGATTTTTCAAGCAGCAGCTTATTCATCACCTTTACTTCTCTTCCACTGATCTTGCAGCGGTGGCTTGGGTGGGAAATGGACCCTGGGGGGAGGGGACTTCTCCTAGTTCTACCCTCAGGCAAGGTTCACAAACCCAAATGTCTTCAGCCGATCAGCAGATAACTCAATGGTAACATCTTACCCACAGAGTGAGAAGACACTGGAGAGCCGACTCCATGGAAACACATAAAGGCATGGATAAACGTATGTAAAACTCAAATTTCAATCCATTCTCATGATGGAGCTTGCATGAAGTCCATCTTACAGATGAGGTACCCAAGGCTGGAGAAGTTCTGTGTAGACTTCATGGTGTTAGGCAGTCTGGGTAGCCTGGCACTCTGGGGTAGCATGGTCTCCGTTCTCCGGTGCTCATGCAAGGACAGTGGGATTCTCCCAGAGCTCGGGACCAGAGTGTCCAACTGCACCCCTCCCACCACCACTGTTCCTCCCAGCTGGACAAACCTGGGCTCACCTCATTGTCTCGGTCTTTCTCCAGGAAGTGGCGGGCCACGTGGCTGGGTAGAATGTTCCGGAGCATGTTCTCGTTGTGTTCCCTTAGCTCCTTCATCTCATTGATCTCCTCTTTGGCCTGTACTCGCCAAAGGAAGTCAAGGCGGGCTGTGTACTCCAGCTGTCATGTGTGAGAGACAAAGAGAAGGAACGGGTGAGCTCCAGGGGTACAGGCTCAGGCACACAGGGTGGGAGGGGGAGAATGCTTCTGTGGAACCCTTCACAAACAAAACAGAGCCTGAGCTGAACATGCTGGGGGCATTTTGCCCAATGCCAAGAAATTGGAGGGTGATTCGACTCCACTGGGGCTGTGGACCTTCCCTTCCTACCATTAAGACATCTGTGATTTTGTGATTGTGTGACTCTCTGGGGATGACTCTGTCATCTGCTAGATTATAGGTGCTGTGAGTTCAGGAGTCCCTTCATCTGCTCAATGATCTCCTTACCATGGAGCACTGTGGCAGGCACAAGGGAGGTGCTCCATCAGTATGTGCGGACTCCACAAGTAAATTCCGATAATAAAGCCAGCCAACACGTAGATGATGGTTGCTATGTACCAGCAACATTTATTGTCTATTCGAAACAAATAAACATCCTTTCATTCCCTTCATCACACAACAACCCTGATGGGGAGGTATCATTATCAACCCTTATCTTATAGATGAGAGAATCAAAGCGAGCAGGGTTGAGTGATTTGACCAAAATCGCACACTCGTGAGTGGGGAAGCCAGGGCTGGAACGAACTCCTGAGTCTGAGCTCTTCATCACGAGGCAAGAAGAAGAAGTGAATGAGAACATCGTGGATTCTAAGTTGAGAGACAGATGTGGCTTAGGGTCCCAGTCCCACATTCAAACCTTGTAACCTGGACTCGTGACTTCATCACAGATTCTTTATCTCTACAACTGGGATGAACACCCATGAGCACATGGGACTGGAAGAAGAGTTATTTAGGGGGTTACAGAGAGGGCACGTGGCTCACAGTAGGTCCTCAACGTATATTGTTAGCTTCCCCATGTCTTAGTTTCCCTGCTCTGGAGAGCAGACAGCTTCCTTTTAAAGGATCTTCTAAACCATATTTACCACAGTTTGGGGATACCATTATTTCCAACATTTTTTTTAAGAGTTTATTCATTTAGGGGTGCCTGGGTGGCTCAGTTGGGTAAAGCCTCTGCCTTCGGCTCAGATCATGATCCCAGGGTCCTGAGATCGAGCCCCGCATCGGGCTCTCTGCTCAGCAGGGAGCCTGCTTCCTCCTCTCTCTCTGCCTGCCTCTCTGACTATTTGTGATCTCTGTCTGACTTGTGATCTATCTGTGAAATAAATAAATAAAATCTTTAAGAAAAAGATTTTATTCATTTATTTGTCAGAGACACACAGAGAGAGAGAGAGAGAGAGCACAAGCAGAGGGAGGGGCAGAGAGAGAAGCAGGCTCCCCGCTGAGCAAGAAGCCTGATGCAGGGCTTAATCTCAGGACTCTGGGATCATGACCTGAACCTAAGGCAGACTGTTAACTGACTGAACCACCCAGGTGTCCCTATTTCCAAGTCTTTTTAACTGTTGAAATGGACAATATGTTGCGCGGCCAAATATATGATGTGAAGCCCTGAATTCAAGGGTTTAAAACATTCAGCTAATTTCTTTCCTTTGTCTTACATGAAAGTCTCAGGGGGTGGTAAAAATATGGAAAGACAGAGGCACAAGATTACCCCTTCAGCAGAATTTGTAACAGCAAAAGCTGGAAACAACCCAGGTGTTCATTTTGTTGGCTGAAGAAACTATTGTATATGACTACAAGGAAGAAAAAAGAAAGAAAAACTATTTCTCTATACTTTGATGAACTAGTCTCTAAGGTAGAGAAAAGCATGTAGAATATTCCACCTTTGATCTACAAAAGGATTGTCTATATCATGGATGGAACTGGAGGGGATTATGCTGAGTAACAGAAGTCAGTCAGAGAAAGACAAATACCATATGATTTCATTCATGTGTGGAGTTTGAGAAACAAGACAGATGAAAGTGTGGGAAGGGAAGGAAAAAGAAAATAAGATGAAAATATATAGAGAGGCAAACTTTAAGAGGTAATAGACTATAGGAAATAAACTGAGGGTTGCTGGAGGGGAGGTGGGTCAGGGGGATGAGGTAACTGGGGGATGGGCATGAAGAATGATGTAACGAGCACTGGGTGTTATATACAACTTATGTATCTCTAAATTCTACCCCCGAAACTAATAATACATTATATGTTAATGAAATTGAATTTAAATAAATAATTAAAAAGATAGAAAAGGGGGCATCGATTTCTCTCTCTGTCCACATGTATATATTTTCTTTATTTATTGAAAAATAGAAGAATAAAAGGTCAAACATAAAAACTCATTACCAAAGAGATGAGGAAGGGAGGGAATAGAGTGGAGAAATAGGGATAGAATTTAAAGTTTTAAAATTAAATCTTGTTTTATAAACTTGGCTGTTGAATTGTGGAAACATTTTTCTTAAGTACAAAACTAAACAGATGTTTAAAACAAACTTGGTAAAAAAAACAAAAACAAAAAACCAGACAGAAGACAAACAAACGAATTTATGCATATAACCACACCAAGGGGAGATATTCCAAATATCTTTAACACAATAATCTGAAGACCCATTTGTAGAAGGAAATATTCTGAGGATAAAAAGAACCCAGAAAGAATTTCAAAACCATTTACAGCAATTTTATTGTTGGTGGTCGTGTCTATCATTACTCTTAGACTCCTGGAAGTGAATTGCAGGATAAAGCAAATAGGTAATTGGATTGGTGTCACTGAGACCTGGTGTTTCTGGGAAGGGAAAAAGGACATGCATATCTAAAATTGATGGGTCTAAGCCAAAAGTCAATAAGTACCAGTATGAACTCATGGTATGTACATATTTCCTACCTTGGCCCACTGATAAGAAAGCCTAGAAATAATGAAAATCTAGTAGTAGCAGACACTCCCAGCATCTAGATTGTGGTTTCAAAACATCAATTCTTACAAAAATGACCTCACACTCTTTGCAGAAATGGCTGAAGTTTAGGGCAGGAAACGTACGAGCCCGGACCATTTTTTCACATCAGAAAGTAAGAAATCCCCAGAGATGATGGGGGTTGTGTGAACAGGCTCCCATGTGTCAAAGATGTGACAAATCAAGCTTTAATAAGGATAGTGATTGCAATGGATTGAAACACAGGGACTATGGTAGCGTGCATCAGACACACGACCGCATTGATCATCTCTGGATGGTGCTTGGGGACAGACTGACTGGGAAACTTACAGGGAATGCAGTTACAGGGAAATCATTAAGCATTTATCCTGCCTTTGTCTTATGAGCTGTACCTGGAGGAGTAAGCTCTTCTTCAAACTGTATTCTGGCTAATGACTTACGGACTATGGATAGAATCAAGCTATTACCACCTATAGAATTAATGAATAGAGGCTATTCTTATCAATAGTTAGCTGCTAATAGAAAAAAAAAAAGATAAGCAGATTACATGGCTGTTAAAAGGAACTCACAAAACCAGCCAACAATGTATTTTTTTTTCTCACCAAGTTTCTAAATACAACTACCAATACAGGAAAAACAATGGGCAGAGGAATCTGTTAAAAGCCCCGAGAGATGCAGTCAACAAAGTCTAAACTGGGAAGCATTATAGAAGTCGGATGACTCTCACAAAATGTTACCAGAAAGAAAAGAGGGAGAGTAATATTATAAATTAACAGACTTAAGAGACATCAACCAATGGCCATACACGGATTTTATTTATGTATTTGTGACCCAAATCACATAAACAAACTTAAAAATATAATTATGAGCCAATTAAGAAATTGAAACAGTGCCTAGAGGCTTGACAATGTTAAAGAGACACCATTTTCTTTTTTAAAAGTGTCTAATAGCATTGTGATTAGGTTAAAATTCTCTATCTTGATTGGATGCATACTGAAGCATTTGCAGATGAAATGACAGGACATCTGGAAGTTGCTTCAAAATAATTGGGAAGGAGTGATGAGAAAAATGAATAGGGAGGTAGGTGAGAAAAGACACAAGAGTTAATGATTGTTGAAGTTGTGAGACTACTATGCACTTCATGAACTTTTATATATGTTTGAGATTTTCCATAAGATCAAAAAATGGTGAGAGGCAGCGGGTTGCTGAAGAGAATGCTTGTCTTGCCCGTTTTGCTGTGTGAACTTGGGAAAGTCATTCCACTTCTTGTGTTTTGGTTCCCCTTCTAAAAAAATAAGAATAATAGTCTCCATGATGTCTAGTTCAAGAGGTACAGATTATTATATGGATCTATTATATGGACCAAATTACATGATGCATGCAAAAAAATCCTGAAATGTCTAAATTATAGATTTATAAGGTATTATTGCAACTTAAGGCAGCAGGGGATAAGATCAGATCAAGGCTGTGCATTAGCTTTTTTCCTTCCAGATTCAAGAGCATTGAATTTTAATTTGTTAAGTTTCAGGACAGTATTTTCTTATCCAAATGAGATGTTTGTTATCTCCCTTAAAAGTGCATGCTTGGTTGAAGCAGGAGATCATTTTCAATGTATTTTCTATTGAGAACCTTTCATCTGGTTGAATTCAGCTCGGAAACACAGGTAGGGAAATCTGGAGTCCTGCAGTCGATTTCAGCCAGGATTTTCCAGTTACAAGTTAAGAATGCACTTTGCATGTCAGCCAGGCAATGGCTGGTCACTGCATTGAAGGCAGGTCCGTATGGAGACTCTAATTCGAGGACAGCTCTGACTCTTGCCAAAACAAATCTCATGCAGGCAGGCATTGTCTATTATTTAATCTCTGGGGGAGGAAAGTAGGGCCTTCCAGTTTACAAAAGATTTAGTGTACTGTGCACCTACTATGTGCACAGTGCTTGGCATACAAAGATGATTTGCTTTCAGCTCAGTGGTGAAGGGAGAAGAATGAAAGACAGAGGAACGTGTTAAGGAAAGAGCATTTCAGCACAGTGGTTAGAGCAAGTGTGGACAGCAAGGCAAAGCGCACAGAAGGCACACAGAAGCTTTGAAAGGGAAAATCTTCACATTTGCTCAAGAACTGGCAATGGATTTGGAAGTGTAATCTCTTTCTTGATTTTCACCAGACTATTAGGGAACTGGCTCTATGAGAAGGGTACCAAGGGAACCAACACATGTTGTTCAGAAGCTTCATGCCAGGCTCTCAGCACAGAGTGAGAGTTAACACTGGCCCAGCTCTTGCCCTGGACCAGGCCCTGTTCTCAGCACTTCCTCTGCTGAAGCTCATCCATCACATGACTCAACAAGGTGGGTATTTTGTTATTCCCATTTCACAGGTGAAGAAATGGAGTCACACTAAGGCAAAGTCAACTGCCCAAGGGCTCACAAGCAGAGACTGACTCTGAACTCAGGACATTCTGATGCCAAGCTATGACTTGACCCCTACATTATACGTACTTGACCTCATGCAGCCATTCTTCAACTCCTTGTAGATAACTTTTATCCTTTTCATTTTGTAGGTAAAGATGGGGCAGCTCTAGAGGCTTGAGTTTCTCAATGTCACCCATCCTTCCAGTGACATTGCTGAGACTCAAATTTAAGACCATTTGGTTCCAGGGGCACCTGGGTGGCTCAGTCGGTTAAGCATCTGACTCTTGATTTCACCTCAGGTCATGATCTCAGGGTCATGAGATGGAGCCCTACGTCAGGCTCCATGCTGGATGTAGAGCCTGCTTGAAATTCTCTCTCTCCCTCTCCCTGCACCATGCTCCCCACTCCCTCTCTTAGTCTCTTGCTAAATAAATAAATAAATAAATAAATGTAAAAAGAATGAAAAGAAAAAGAATATTGGTTCCAGTGCTTGAGTGTTTCCTTCTACACCACGCAGTCTTGGTGTCTCCTTATCTGACCCAGAAGTAAGAGGAGACCTCAGTGATCTCTGTCCCCGTGTGCAGAGGCTGCTTCCTCTTCTATAAACAGAGCCCCTGAAGAGAAACCCACACCTCAGGGTTGCCAGTGAACCAGGTGAGATGGCAGGCACCTGACTGCTCTCTCTCTCTCTCTCTCCAATGTTTAGAACGTTCACCTGCCTTGGGGGAGGAGGAAGGGATGGCACAGCACTTCCACATGTGTACAAGATGAAATTTCCCAAGTGTTCAGTTACATAACTTCCTCCGTCCCTCTGGAGATAATCTCATTACACATGCTCTCACCCGTTTGCTGCTGTGTACCAGGCATCCATGGGCATTATCCAACCTTTAAAAAAATTGAGGGCCCCTGAGTCACAAAAAGAGAAACTGGCAGAAGCAGGTAGCAGACCCCAGGAGTAGACAGACTTGCTTCAGAGAAACAGGAGCCTGACACAGAAGTGATACAAGTGAGGCAGAAAGACCCTTCTCATAAAGAGAGGCAGGGGCACATGGTGGGGAGAGAATAGACCTGGAAGTTTTGGATTCCTGTTTCTACCTGGTGTTCCTTGTTGGATTTATGACCTTGGTGACTTGGGACCAGATGCATAAAAATACTTTCCCCGTTTACCTCAGAGGCCTGTTTTCAAAGTAAAGCATTCATAGCCTATGATTTTTGAAGACCTATTCTATGTACAAACACTGGGATTAGTACATTACAATTATATTCTCATCCAATCTTATAACGACCCTATGAGGTAAGGCCGTTACTAGCATACCCGTTTCATAGGCAAGAAAATTGAGACTCAGAAGTTAAGTAAATTGCTGAAGGTCGCATAGCCACTAAGTGGCAGAGTTGGGGTGTGAGTACTTCTCCCCCACTACAAAGCCAATTAACCTGTAACTGCTACCATTATGGGATGTGATTATGTAATTTTAGAGCCTTCTGAAAGTTAAAAAGAAGAAGGGGACATATCAGATGTCACTTAAGCACTTGGATCCTCCCTATGCACAAATATACCCTTACTTCACAAATAATCTTAACATGGTTAGATTGTCTGTTTCCCGGGACAAATGGGGCACAGAACAAATTAAATCAGAATGTTAAAAGGGTATTGGGGAAGGGACATTGTCAGGGCACAGAATAATTCCTTAAGCTGATAGAGGAGAAAGGAACATCCTTCCTATTGTGGAATGAGCTCCCTCACTCTGAACTTGCTATCAGTTATCCTGGGGGGTGGGTGCTCACTCATCAGTTTCAAACCTGTGGGATGGAGGGTGGGTATGTTTCTCTGTAGGATTGCCTTGTCTGATTTCATCATCATAGCCTTCTTATGGATTGCTGTTTGCATGTCAGACTAAGGGGTTTTCCTCTGTAACCAGAAGCCATCAAGACATGGAAGATATGACCCCAGCTCTCACAGAGAGCTAGAAATACCTAAATATAGGAATTCTGGAAATGGCTAGTTTTTGACTTTGCCTTATTATTTTGCCATGAATTCAGCTCAAATTTAAAACCAAATCAAAGCCACACTGCAAGATTGAGTGCCTGGGACCATTGTGTTGGTGCATGAACTTGTTTCTTTCTCCGGTCTAGAGAAGTGGAAAGTGTGAGCTTTGGAGAAAAATCTGGGTTTGAATCGGGTTCTCCCCCCTGACTAGATGAGTAGCCTGACTTTCTTCATCTGCAAAACAGACTGCCAACAATTACCAATCTGGGTTGTTGGGAGGATGATACCAGATAACAGAGGTACAGAGCTAGAACTTGATACACAGTAACACTTCCCCCTCCTCAAGTCTTTATAGTTATCTTTCTCCCCCTTGGCTACATGTTGCCATCCCCCTATTACACATAACTTTGTATGTATTTCTAGGTTCTTGGGGATTGGGGCTGTTTCAGGGTTTCTCAGGGTTGATTACCTCCCTGTTTCCATGGTGATTTCTCAGCGCTATGTTTCTATTTCTGCCCTAGCTGAGTCTTCTGTTTTGTTTTTCTCCTCTTCTGGTTACTTTTTTTGAAGTGGATGTAGACCAAAGAAAGATGGACCAGGATCCAAGGCAGGGCAGGGAAGCTGGCAGGGGCTGGTTCCACCAGGGAGAGAAAATCTCCCCGGCTGATGAACACCGCAGCAGTCATGGTCTGAGTCTGCATGGAGATGTCCTACTGACCACAGCAGGTAAGCCGCCTGGGGCAAAGTCTGGTATCGCAGTCCCATGCAGAATAAATTCTTGCCCCAATGACTCTAAAAGTCCTTGGACAGCCTGATCGCACGTAGCAGGTCCTCTGGGAGACTAGAACCTTTGGGGTCAGGGATGGGGTTTTAGAAGGAGCCCACCACAGTGCCTACCCCAGATGCTGGCAGAGTCGTGGTTCACAGGGAGGTGGCACTGATATGCTTTAGGCCCTTTATCTGCTTGGACGAGTAAGGAATGACACACTTCCTATAATTACATAAGGCAGTGTGCAAAATGCTGCACATGATAATCTCAGACAATTCTCCAAAACGGGCGCATCCAGGTGTTACTATCCTATTTCACACTGGATGAAGACCTCTAAGTTCAGGGAGACGAGCGACTTGCTTAAGGCCACAAACAGAGCATCAGAGGCTAGACTAGGACCCCGGCTCCACTGATCCTCTCACCTGCATGATTCCCAAGCCCAGCAGTCAACTTCTCCAGGAATGACTCCATGCTGGCAGTAATGGAAATGGGAGAGATCCCGGTTTGCCTCAGGCAGAAATGGTAAGTTTTTATTTGTTTGTTTGTTTGTTTTTCATAACAATGATCTCTTTGAAAGAGATATACCTGAAAGGCATTAAAACATCCTGGCTTGCCAAATCATCTTCTCCAGTTTAGTTTTTTTAAGGTGGTCTTTACTAGGAACCAATTCATTAAGAATCACCACTTCCTGCAAGCAGCTGATGGGTCATTTGCTGCAAGGAAGAGCAGAGGACTCATAGATCGGTTTCAGGGCAATGGGAAATGCCAAGTAGCAGAGAAGAGTTTGAGCAAAATTTTGGATTACCTGCTGTCCATGGTAGAACACAGCAAGGAGGAACATGGCCATCAGCAGCAGTGACGCCTCCTTGGTCCCCAGGAAATCTCTGTTGGAAGAAGAAAGATGACAAGAAGAAAGGCAAGATTACAACCATCGAGGGACCCCAAGGAGACTCATTAGCAGACCAGGTTCATTCAGAAAGAAGCTGGGTAAACAGAAAGGAGGGAATATTTCTTGAGCATTCACTAGGCGATAGGGGCTGTTTTCTGAAGGTTTCCACATAGGCTAATTCAGACATCAGTTGATTCTCCAGGATATGAGGTCACTTTTGTCACACCTCGTGGACAAATCTAAGTCTAACATCTCAACAACGCACTCACATTGATAAAAATGTTTTCCCTTTGCGGAATACTTCCAGACTTCAAAGAGCTTTGAAACTTCCTCATCACAAAGATCCACACGAAGACCAGGATGCCTCCTTTTTCTTTAGATGTTACTCTATTTCAGATAGGTATATGGTGCTGACAGTGTGGCTATGTCTGTTTTAGCTGCTTTCACTTAGACTCTTAAATGGATTCAATGATTTGGACACTATTTTAATTCTTTCTAAGTTTAAAATTCTTATATTAATTCTATGAGTCAGGCACTGTTATAATCCCCATTTTATTTCTTATATCTTTTAATAAAACCTTTGTTCCCTGTGCGTCATCTCATCCTGGACTGACACCCCTCAACCCCCACCAAATGCTCCATTCACAGTCCTTGTTGGGGGCACATGCTGAGGGGTCACTGGTCTGGCCTATCCTGGGGTCTCCCAGAGATCAAGCTGGAAGGCAGCTGAAGATGGGTAAGCTTATATTTAAACACAGATATGACTTTCAGTCATCCAAGGAATTCAGAAGTTCCAAAAACCCTTGTTCAGTTCTGCATGTTTTTTCTCTTTCAGTGCAGCACGAAGCCTTTCTCAGGACAAGCTAAACCAGGAGGCAAAGGGTTTGGAAGAAGCAAGATTGGACTTTGAATATGGACATGGGCAATCTGTGGAAATAAACAGTCCTCTTGACAGGCTTCTGGGGACTAATGAAGAAAACTCAGAATAAAATGTTTTAGACAAATTATCTGTAGGGACATTGGGACTTGCTTTCCATTACCTCTTGTTCTTCCTCCACCTTTTCTCCATCTCGGGAGATGCCCCCATCATCCACTCACCCTGATGCTTGAGCCAAATACAAAACAAACCTCGGAGTCAGCCCTCACCACCCCAATATATAAATCCTGTCTGCTCTTCCACCCAAATATATCCCCTGTCCCTCCACTCTCTCTATCTCTACCTCTAACACCTGAGGGCAGCCACCATGGCTTTCAGTAGCCCCCTGCATTGCCCTCCAACATCTATTTCCAACATGCTTTCTGGAATATTCTGTGTCACTAAAACTGGGTCATGTCACTTTTTGTTTTATTGCCTCCCAACCAAAAGCACACATATTCTCAGTAGTGGCTTAACTCTGATGAGGCTTAAAGACACAAGGTGCCATCAAAGAGGAAATGCAGCGTGTAGGTGGGGGGGATAGAGTGGACGCTGACAAGACTGCACCCAGGTGGTCTCGAGCCTTCCCTTTTCTCTCCTCACTGGAGATGAGCAGTAGCACTGGGCTCAGGAAATGGGGGCCTGAACCCCACTGCCAAGACCAGCATCTCATCTAGCTTTATGTTGAAGACCCTCCCAGCTGATCCAGAATGGGCCCAGTCCAGATCTGCAGATAGAACAAGAACTCAGGAACAGAAATGTGCTTTCTCTTGGGGAGCTCTTGTGCATACAGGAACACAAGGGGAGCTCTTGTGCATACGGGAACACAAGGGGACCAGGATGTCTATGGGCTGACACAAGATTCCCAATTTGTGAATTCCTGGTTCCATCTGCTTTTCCTTGGAGATAAGGTGCTAGTAATAGATGATACTCACTATTGTGTCTGTCGTCTATAGCCCCAGCAAAAGCACATAATTACTGAGCACTACTGCATGCCAGGCACATGCTGGGATATAGAAAATGAAGAGGGCACATTGTCTTTGTCCTCAAAACAGTCCAGGAAAAGAGAGAACCAAACAGATAAGTTCATAACACAATACACTCCATTGTAAAAATACATCCTTGTTGCCATGGGAATACATAGGAAGAGAAAGTAACCCAAGATGGGTATTCTGGAAACACAGGAGCTGAGTCTTCAAGGGTGATAGACTTCAGGAGGAAAAGATAGGATGGGCTCTGTAGGTATGGGGCATGTATCTTACTTAGCTAGCTGGTTGAAACCTGCTGGTGCTTGTTCTTGCTCCTGGTGGGGATGCTTGAAAAAAGCCCTCCTTCACACAGCTTCATGTGAATGGGAGGCATCCTGCATTTAACTCCTGAGTGTGCCCTCCTGGAATGCCTGCTCTCCCAGGCACTTTTGACATCCTTTTCTTTGTGACGTAGAAGACTTTTGGAAGGCCAGCAATGTGTCACTTGCAACACACTTTCAAGGGAAAACACCCATACCTCTGGAAAGCAGAGGCTGACCAAAAATAAAGAGCTGGCTAGATCAGAAGAAAAAGTATGAGAAAATTACTATGAATGGTCTCCTAGTCTTTAAACTCTATTTCACCTGGAAATATTTTAGCTGGAGTCAGGATTGCAAAGTATGCATAGAAAGTCAGCCAGGCCAAGGAACATCCAAAAAGAACTGTGATTTGAGTTTAGAAGGAATTTCTTTTTTTCTGATAGCTTCTGTGATTCTTTGAAGAACTTCCAAGAGAGTCAAATGACCAATGTGAATGAAGTTCTAACACGTTGCTTGATATTGGGTGGTACAGACGTAAAACCAGGGACATTTTGAATTAATTTATTTATAGTAATAAAATCATGGAATTAATAGAACCATCTCCCTATGCTAATAGAAAGGCACATAATTAAGTAAAAACACATGTAGAATAATGCTGATTCTCAAGGGCTGTAACAGTCTTTAGAGAGCATCTTATCTGATGTCTCATAAAAATTAATGTTTAATTTGAGTGTTACTGATTACAGAAGTATTTATGTTAATTGTGGTAAATTTGGAAGATAATACAAATTCACAAATAAGAAAATAAAAATTGCCCTTATGCCTACCACCCAGAGAAAACAATTATTAATATTTTGGAGCCAACCAGGGGTGCCTGGGTGGCACAGTCAGTTGAGGGTCTGACTCTGGATTTTGGCTCAGGTCATGATCTCAGGCTCCTGTGATACAGCCTCTCAGCAGGTTCTGGATGCAGGGGGAATCTGCTTGGGGATTTCTCTCAGTCTCCCTGTGTCCCGCCCCTAGGTTGTCCTCTCTCCCTCTTTCTCTCTCTTTAAAATAAATAAATAAATCTTTAAAAAATATTTTGGCTCCAACTAAGTGTCCCTTCCCTTTCCTCCATGCAAAAATATGTTTATACATTAAGGATTGTATGGTTCATATTATTTTTGAAACCTACTTCTGTACTTAGTACATAATGAAAATAATTCCATGTAATTAAGTATTTTACAATGCAAGTTGGGTAGGTCCGTTCTATTCCATACTATACGTATAATAGATAACGTAATACCTCTTGCATGTCTTCTATTTTATACACTTAAAATCAAGGACCAGGGAGAAGCTACTTGCCCCAGTTCACACAGCTGATTCCTATCAGAGCCAGGACACAGTTTCACATCTTAAGCACCAAGTTCAGAGCTCTGGCCATTTGTGCATCTGATGCCAAATTCTTAGTTTTAACTATTACTCCCATTTCCCCTTTTGAATCTCAAAATGAGCCAGCCAGTTTGAATGATGCTTTATTCTGTCCCCATGCTAATGACGACATTTGCTAAGTGTTGATCATATGCTATGTCTGTAATAACACTATGTATAGGTGATGGTCTTTGGAGCTGCAGGAGGGAAGACTGGAGGAGTCATGGGGACCAGACTGGGAGACATGCGGAGTCCTTGAGAAGCAGATTGAATTTCAGCTTCTTAGAGGTGATAAAGAGCCCCTTAAGGGATTTTTTAAAGATCTGTTTATTTTTAGAGAAAAAGAGAGAATGAGTGGGGGGATGGAGGGGAGGGAGAGGCAGAGGAAGAGACAGAATCCCAAGCAGACTCCTAGCTGAGTTCAGAGACTGATGCAGGGCTTGATCTCACAATCCTGAGATCATGATCTGAGCCAAAATCAAGAGCTGCAAGCTCAACCGACCGAGTAACCCAAGTGCCTTGGAGCCCCTTCTGGGTTTTAAGAAGGATAATGAGTTGACCAGATGTCTCTGATGGTTTTGAGAGGGATGCATCAAGAGTGGAGCCTGGGAGATCAGTTCGGTGACAGCAGCCCAGAGATGAGAATGAGGATCTTTCTAGGACCACAGCATTATGGCATGGAGGGTGCATATGGGATAATAATTGTTAGTATCATTCAAGTGTTTTTTCTGTTCCAGGCCTTATGCTAGGTTTCCGTGATCACATTTGATCTTTTGGATACTCCTACAACATAGGACAGGTTGTTACTCTCACTTTACAGATGAGAAAAGCCGTGCTCAGAGGGATTGTCACTTTTCATGAATTCCCTTGGGAATCACACAGCTGGCCGATGGCAGTGCTGGGGTTTGAACCTAAGTGCCTTAACTCCTAAACCTGTACTCACACCTGTTGTGATAGAGCGCTTCCTTATAAGGCATATTGAGATAGATGAGTCTCCAGGGATTGATAAGATACTGGGGGAGAGGGTGCCCCTCCTGTTTTGGACTCAGGGTCATCTGCTGAGGTGACGAGTTGTCATAGAGGGCCTCCTGAGCAGACTGGGAGATGCTGGTCTGAAGTATTTGGGACCATCTGGCTGGAAATGCAGCCAGGCTGCCAATGGAAGGTTCTTCACACTCTGCATTACAGGTGTACCTAACCCCCAGGTACAACCAGCAGAGTGCTGCTGAAGTGCCCAAGGTGAGCTCCTGAAGTGTGGGCTAACCCCTGACAGCATGAGCAGGCTCTGGCTGCCAATGGGACGTGCAGTGGCCGCTGATCTGCTGATCTGTAACTCAGTGAACGAGAAGGTTGAAAGAGTTCTTCTGATCCTTATTAGTTTAGTTCCATGGATAGCAAAGTGTGAGTCAATACAAGACTTGCCAGTAACTGACCTCGAATCAGGAAGAAGCTGAGAAAAATACTCTGACCTTGCAGCAGTGAGCTTGGGATTGGATTCACATTCACAACCCTACTTAACAATTTCACTACAAGCTCTTCCCGAAGGCCTCGGAACAGAATTCAGAACTAATAAACCTCTCTCCTAAGAAGGGGGGAGGGGCTAGGAATGCACCGCCACGGGTCTCTTGCTGTGTAACAGGCACATCAGAGCCTCACATGGTCCCGGGATAGAGGACAGTTATTCCATTTCACTGACAGGCAAACTGAGGTCCAGAGATGGGAAGTGACTTCCTAATGCAACAGACTCTGGATTTGAAGCCAAAGCCCTGGCTGGTTGGTTTAATTTTATTCTTACCACAAATGTGGCTTATTTTGTTCCTACATCTCTTTGCCCTCTGTTTGGCCATGGCCACACCTATTGCCACTAATTATTTTACCTAATTTGAAACTGTTTTGACTTTTTGAACCCTGGGCATATGATGAGAGATTCTTCAGCTTGACTTAGAAGGAGTGTGTGCAGTATTGACAAAGGCGGACTCTGAAGCCAGGACAAGCCCCGTTTGACTCCAGATCTGTTCGTTACTAGCCATGGGCACCATGAAAACTGTTTAGCGTTTCCTAGTCCATGTTCTTCGGATGGTTGCTGTGAGGATCAAACAGGGTCATGTACATAAAGTGTCTGATGCGTAAAAAAAAAATTAGCATCTGGAATTTATAAAGAACCCTCACAAATCCAGTAAGAAAAAGGCAAGGAGCCTAACAGAACACCAGTCAAGGGAGATGACCTGACAGTTCACTCAAAGGAAATCCAAATAGTTAATAAACAAACAAAAATGTGCAAACTTGCTCATGACCAAGGAAGTACTAATGGGAAAAATGAGATTCACACCCATGAGTTTGACAAGAATTTTGAAAGTCTATCCAGGTTGGGGTGGGAACAAGGAGCAACATAACCATTGCTCCTGAGAGGGAAATCATGAGAGAGACAATGAGGTGACCAGATGGCTCTGATGGCTTTGAGAGGGGTTCGTCGAGAGTGGAGAGAAGTTTGGCAAAACTGTGCAAAGTGGGACATAGAAACACCTCACAATCCAGCGAGTGTGCTTTTAGATATAAGTTCCGGGAGATGTTTTTGATAATGGTCACTGAAGCATTTTTTAAGTAAGGAAAACTACTAACAGCCTGAATGTCTATTAGTAGGTCAAATGATGAATATATTTTGGTAGGTTCATATTATGTAACTGGAACATATTACCACTGCCGATTGTGAAAGCAGTCTGCAGAATTACATCTGTGGCCATCAAACTAGAAGCATCAAAGGAATGCAATACTGCATGACACTGAAACAATTTTATAAGTAATTTATAATACAGACATCACTAAATGTATATAAAATACATAGATGGGAAGGATACACAGTAAGTGCCTTAGAAGTTGGCTCTTAGGAGGAGGGAATAATGCTGGGGACGAGAGACCATCTGAATATCATAGCAAAATATCTGAAATACTTGATCCTCTTAAAATGCAGAAGTAAGGGCACCTGGGTAGCACACTCAGTTAAACCTCTGACTCTTGATTTGGCTCAGGTTGTGATCCCAGGGTGATGGCATAGAGCCCCGCATCGGGCTCAATGCTCAGCACAGAATCTGCTAGAGATTCTTTCTCTCTCTCCACCCCTCCCATTCTTGTGCTCTTTCTCTCTCTAAAATAAATACATAAATCTTTAAAAAACGAAGAAGTAAACACGGCTCATTATTAACGTTGTTTCCAGGGGTTGGTTCATAGATGTTGGTGTAATTAGTATCCAGCACACTTTCTGGGGTTTTTTGGACAATCTTTGCCTCCTATTTTTTCTCATTTGGTGGGCCCCTTACTATGGTCTCAGTTAGCTCTAAGCTTCCTGCACCTGAGGCCACTGCCTAGGCCACTGCTGGCTCGGGTGAAGCTCCACGGTGCAGGGGTGGGGTCTGGCTTCCCCATGGGGCTGTGTGAGGGACCACGGGCTGTCACCAGGAAGGTCATCTGGAGACCGAGCTGTGACTCATGAGAGACAGGAAAAGGATGGATCCAGGAGAGAAATCTCTCTCCCTTTCTGTGTCTGAGCTGGTTTTCCTCACTTCACTGCCCATCCAGAGACATTTCAACTGAGTGGTTCCTTTTTTCTTTCTTTTTTTTTTTTTTTAAAGATTTTATTTATTTATTTGAGATAGTGAAAGAGCACAAGCAGGGAGAATAGCAGGCAGAGGTAGAAGGAGAAGCAGGTTCCCTGCTGAGCAGGAGCCCCATGTGGGACTCCATCCCAGGACCCCAGGATTATGGCCTGAGCTGAAGGCAGACGCTTCACTAACTGAGCCACCCAGGTATCCCTGAGTGGCTCTTTTCAATCTTCTCCTGACTGATGAGGCCACAAAATACCATGGCAGCTTATGCTTGTCTCCAGACCTCTTCTCCCTCTCTTTCACTGCCCTGGAGTTGTGCTGGCTCTTCCACCTTGTTTCAGCTCTGTTGCAAGAAATCTAGGGTGAGACATTATTTTTTGTACTTTTCTGTATTTTACAAATAATGCAGGGCAAGGAGTGTAGTAAGTGTTCAATGCTACTATTAATATTATCACAGCCAAATTATAATCAGACCTCAGGCATCTCAGAGCTGTTAAATTGGAAGGAATCATAAATTATTAAGTTTGGAGGAAGGAGACTGGAGCTACTCTTTAGTTACTACTCAGTCCAAACTTTACAACTGAAAACAAGGGATTTTGCCTAGACTTGTAAGCCAGAGAGCTCCTGAGCTGAGAAACAGAAGTCAATATCCAATGGTCCCCAAGTTTTGGTGATGCCACCTCAATCATCTTCCCCAAGGCTCCTTTTCCAACTGGGAGTTGAGCCCTTTTCGAGCGTGTGATGGTGAGGACTTACTCTCCACTGTGGTTCAGGTTGTCGTAGCGCAGAAAGAGGCCCGCGTAGATGGTCTCGGTCAGCAGAGCGTAGATGGCGATCATAATCAGCAACACAGCCAGCTTCAGGACAGAGTTCAGGCGGAGGAAAACTGCACAGGTCACCATGGCAAGCACCCCAGTGAAGACGAAGTACTGGAAACAGAGAGAGGGGAGGTGGTCAGAATCCAACAGGAATGTGGGAGGGCCAGTCCCCTCAGCGCGGATGCCAGTGGGTCTCCTGACGCAGGTGGCAGCTGAGCACCTCCATTTGGAGACCTCAGGCTGCCCTCAAGTCCAATAGGCCTCCAATAGAACTCATCGTTTCCTTACCACATCCCGAGTCTCTGTTCCCTGGCCTTTGGGGTCCATTTATGCCAATCCTAAGCCAAAGAACCCTCGGTCTCTTCTTTGCTGCCTTTCTCTTCCCCACACTCCACAGCCACCCCACCCTAAGTCTGTAGCCTCCACTTCCTTCAGGGAGCTCACACCCAGGCAGCTCTCCTCTCCCAGGCATTTTCTGTTCTGGTTCCCGAACAGTTTCTGGCAGCTCTGTCTGCTTGCAGCCCCCAACCCTCACTGAACACACACTGTCTTTCTCTCTCCAGAATTTCTAAAACACAGACCTCATCATGCCTCGCCTCAGCTTGAAGGACTTTCATGGCTCACTAGTCCCTCAAACTCGAGTGGGAAGCTCCCAAGGCCAGCACAGATCAGATTTCCCTTTACTTTCTAAACCCAACATATGCTTCAGCCTCCCTATTTACCTGCGCCTCCCATGGCTGTTTCCCAACTCTCCTGGGCCTCCGAGCTCTGCATCTCGTGGTTCAGAGTCATCCATGTGACTAAGCCTCCATTCTCTGAAGAGCATCTTCTCCTCTGAGAAGCCTTAGTGCTCATTTCCAGATGCCCTGGAAGCTGGCTTGTTCCTCCGTAGCACCACCCACATCCAGAATAAGATCTATCTCCTTGTATAAGAAGTAGCTGTTCAAAAGGCCAGACTGGTGCCATTCAAGCTGGAATCCTGGTTCGCAGCTCAGTCTGCCCAGCCATAGTTCATTCAGCCCTTTGTAGGATGGTGTCCGGCCTCTTATCCTGCCCACTATAGCATTCTGAATAGCAGGTTTGGATTCTGACTCTCCAGTGGGAAAAAAGAATAAAAGTCACATTATTAAGGCCCATGTGGTCCTCTTGTAACTTTCAAAATAACTGGCCAAGATGGGAATCATAATTCCCACTTCACCAGTGAAGAGACTGAGGCTCACAGAGATAGCGTGAATTGTTCCAATTCTCACACCTGGAAAATGGCACCTAGGACCCTTGGAAGCAATCTGTCCACATATGTTTGACTGCAGTGGGCACATTGAGCTTGATAATCCCTAACATCCACTCCAACCCTCTTATGCCCGGCCCTTTGTAGCAATTGGAGGTCTCCTTTCTCCTATTACAGAATGAGTTTCTGGATGGGCAGAGGATACCATAAGAACTTCTAGACATCTCCAAGTGACTATGGAAGACACATTTATTGAGTTCCTAAGTCAAACTGACGCATTAATGTACATTTTCAACAGTGATATCAACAAATGTGGATAGCACCTTGATGAGACCCCACTGAGCATGAACAAGACTTTATTGTGCATGTAGTAGACTTGGAAATGAATAAGGCTGCATCCCTATCCCTAAAGACCCCTGCATCTGGGACACCCTTCACTTTTGTCTTTCTTTCTTAGTAAATCCAATCGTGTCCATGTCTGAAATGGATGATGAGCTTTCTTCAACTCTCCTTTAAGATCTTTCCTTGGCAAGATTTACAGGTAATTCATCTTGATGCCCTGAAGCCATCATTTTAACAGATAGAGGAGAGTTGGGTAGACCTGAAGCATCTTGTTTCATTGTTACCTGCATCATAATGAAGGGTTGTGCATGATTTTGTCAATGCAAATTACAAATTGTGTATTAAATTAAAGCTGTCAAAATGATTATGCCCTTGAGCAAAAGTTAATGAAGGCACAACAGTTAAGTTTAAGAAGTGTGATAAGGACTTACTGTGTGGCTGTTGCAATCAAGGCATGTTGCTAGGCACTGGGAATTCCAAAGTGAGAGATGGCCTGGACCACACCCGGTGGTCTAAGATGTAAAGCCAATATGTAGAGACCAACACCAATGTGCTGGACGTTCTCTGCCAGCAATATGAACCTTATGGTGATGCTGTAAACCACAAGAAATCAGCAGCATAAGGACCCTGGGTAGATAACACCAGGAGCTTTTCCTCTGTCTCTTTTCTAGCTTGAATGAATAGTGGGAGTGGGACCGGGGAATGGAGAGGAACAGGAAGCAACTGAAGTATTATAACTTTGAAAAACCCCTCTTTCAGCTGCATCTGGACCCATAAATTGCATGTTTCCTACAACTTGGGAGGATGCTGGGCCCAACACAATGACTAAATTTCTTTCAAACAACCAATAGTCTCTGTGTTCTTTTAAGTTAGCCAAGGAACTCAGATGCCCCACAGCTTCTAGAGTGCCCCCTGAATGGGTCCTGGGCATTAGGGTTTCACAGGTGTTGCAGGGCAGAGATAGGAGGCAAAGCCACGTTGCAAAAACTCTTGTATGTGCTGCTGAGAAGTCTGCACTTTATTCTGCAAGGAGCCGCGGGTGGGGTTCAGGTTTGTAATGGATTCAACAGGTCAGTGGTCTAGGAATAAACTGTGGGGTAAATAAGTACAGGAGGGATTGTAAGTCATGGGGAAAAGCTGAGGTTTAATGACAAGTTTAGGGACTAACCTAATAGATGGGGTAAGAAACATGTGTAACTTTACATGAAGGTGGGGGAGGGAGGAGTCGGGACTGGTGGTAAGCATTCCAGCAGGGGTTAATCTATTAACTAAGAGAAAAAACCAACTACAGAATGAGGATGGGGAAAAGGAATGCAATCAGCTTTAGGGCTCTCAAGCTTCAGGGATGGAGGATGATTCAGAACAACTGAGGGCAACCACAAGTGTGAGGCTGAGGTTTGGAAGAGAGCTGGGTCTGGAGACATGTTTGACATGGTTCAGCTGACCCCACAATGTGGAGATTGTCCAAGAAGAACATGAAAAGTAAAGACAGAAGATACAGAGACTAACGTGTAGAGTCTCTCATGTTTGAGGGGCTGTGGGAAAAGAGAAATAAGAACATTCATTAGGGATTGTTGAGGGTATGAGAGGACAATGAGGAGAAAAGTGTGAAAAAATAAGTAGCCCCCCCAAAATAAAAATCTCCATAGACAAAGATTTTCAGAGGAGCATTTCAAAGGTAATGTATAGAAAATGTTTTCAAAATAACTTAATGCCAAAAAGCAGGATATAAAATTTTATATGCACTATAATCATAACAATGCAAAGTATGGACACATAGGACATGGCTTTGGTGTGGATAATTTCCATCTGTAGAGTCCTTTAATCTGATCATAACACCAAATACCAAATGAGGCAGGGATCAACGTACTGTTCTGCAAGGAGTCCCTCTGTTCCCGAGAAGTCTGCATCCGGTATCATCAAGGGGTTCTCTACTTCTTCCTAGGTTTTAAATGATGAAACATCATCCCACCAGGATATGTATGAGAAATGGTAGGGACTGGTCAGTTTCTAGCAATTTTTAATAGAGAACACAGACATTTTAAGGGGATAAGAGACCTAATCATGATATGGCAGTTTTGACCAGGAAAGTAAAAGATTGACTGCCGCAATGAGTGCCAGCACCTTGGTGCCTAAGTTAGGAAAAAAGAGGTGAGAGGCATTTCAGTAGTGAGGTTAACATGTGGGTAGGAGAAGAGGGATAGACACTGAGGATGTGTAGGTGGGAGGCAGCCCAGGTCCTCACACTAGATGAACACCCGGTAACGTGAGGGGATCAATGGGAGTGGCAATGCCTGTGCATCGGGGCTAAGTTGGTGGGAGGTGGAAGTAGTGCTCATAACCAAACATTTGCTGGGCACGAATTCTGTGTAATGTACTTTATGAGTGGCTTCATATGCTTCCACTTACTTAACTCTTAAAATGATCCAAGGACAGGTACTATTTTTATAGTCATTTTACAGAAGAGGGAAGCATATAGAACACATTTCTGCTTTTGAATAATCAAGATTTTCTTCTGTCAGATAATACACTGACTTGGGAAATGACAAATAAAGCAAAATCTTCTAAGTCTGTACTGAAAAAAAGTTGGACTCCCATGCCATGGCAAAGGGTTCAGAGGATCAAAAATTGAGGATTATGTTTGCATGAAATAAGTATTTTGCCCAAATTCTACAATTGTTGAATGAGGACCTACTGGGGACCAAGAACCGTGCAAGGCTGGAAGGCACTATTCTAAGGTCAGGACACTGTCACAAAGTATCATAAATGACCTTGGCAATAGGTACACATTCTCCTCCTGAAAGAGGAGGAAGCAGAAGACTATCACACCATGGTAACATGAAGAAGGACTTGAACTCAGCCCCACACAGGTCATGCATGCTGGGCTGTCAGCCCCCCTTTGGTTGCTGCCAAATCCCATGGCATTATAAACTCACAGAAGAAAAAAGAAAGATGACTGACAATTTTCATAAGTCATGGTCCTTCAGGGAAAGAATCCAAACTTTCTGATTCACACAGAACCGGGTTTTCGATGATAACTCTTGGTTCCATCAGCGCAGTGAAGTGCATATGGACCAAAGACAGAGGCTTCTCTGCTTCATCCTGAGCCTCCCCTTTCCACATGGTCCAGGAGTGACAGTGTCAGGACCCGGGGGTCACCACGGGTGCAGGTGGGATGAATAACCTGACGTTCCTCGCTCTTTACTGGATTACGTGAGTCAGGGGAGAGGGGCATTTTGTTTAGGCTGGATGCTCTGCTACAATCTGATTGTGCTTTGTCTTCTTCTAGATCCTCGTTTTGATGACTGGCCTTTCCCCCCGCCCCATACTAGGGGAAGAATGGTGAATGTTCTCTTGGTTATTATAGTTGTTAGCTTAGATCTGTCGAAACTGCGTTTAAAGTCCACAAGTAGATGTGGATGTTTATATCTGACTTGGGTTGTGGGGAGATAAACGATTCTAGATATTTCCTAGAAGAAACTATATTCACAGTTGATACTCTAACCTCATAATCCTTCCTGGAAAGACATACCTGTATTAA